ACCTCTTCCAACAGCAACCTAGTTTTCCCAAGAGGTCTCCCATCCAGGTACTGACTAGGTTCAACCCTGCTTAGCTTCAGTTGGGAACCAGTCTTGGGCTGCAGGGTGATATGGCTATTTGTATAATTCATAAATACACAGACTTCCAGACTTCCACACTCTGCTTGCTTCTTTTGGTCTCAAGCGAGTATTAACTACGGCTACTCACAAATCAGGCAACCAACTGGACCTTATTTACACACGACACTGCTCCACTGATCATGTGCTGGTTACTCCACTGCACACCTCGGATCACTTCCTCCTCATTCTTAACCTCAACATGGTTCCTGACACAACACATACCCCTACACATGTCACTTTTCGACGTAACCTACGCTCTCTCTCACCCTCCCGGCTATCTGCTATGGTTTCATCTTTGCTTCTTTCTCCTGAACAGTTATCATCTCTTGATGTTAACCGTGCTACTGATAGTTTCTGCTCCACTCTTACGTCTTGTTAAGACACTGTAGTTCTTCATTAATAAAATTAAAACCATCAGTGCACAGTTCTCCACACCACAAACTGTCAAGCACATCTTACCAGCAAACATACACTCGTTTTCATCCTTCTCTTCTCTCTCTGAGGCAGACGTCTCTAAACTCATCCTTTCCAGTCATCCTACTACTTGCCCGCTTGATCCTATTCCATCTCATCTCCTTCAAGCCATTTCTCCTGCCGTTGTACCTGCACTCACTCACATCAACACATCCCTTCACACTGGTGTTTTTAGACAGGCTCGTATAACCCCACTACTTAAGAAACCCTATCTATCTGTTTTCTTTTTATTTATTATATGATTTAAAAAAAAAAAACCTTGCTATGTGTACTGTGTTAAGCTAACTGAGAGTTGTTATAGCACTTGCATATCATTGCTCTTTTGTTGTTTTTGATTTCTTCCATTGTCCTCATTTGTAAGTCGCTTTGGATAAAAGCATCTACTAAATGTCTAAATGTAAATGTAAGTGTGTGTGTGTGTGTGAGAGAGAGAGATACACACTCATAAACACACACACTCTTCATTATTAGTAGATATACATGCAGATAGATAGATCGATACAGATAAATAGATAGATAGATGGAACAATTGAAGTAAGTGTTTGTCAGGATTTCCTGTGAGGTGTTGCATCTCTCCAGCTGGGTTTGAGCTCCTCACACGTGGTTTGATTTGTGAAGTGTGTTTGATCTGTGTGTCATATGAGAGTCCTAATGCTGTGTGTGTGTGCAGTACATGCAGAACCAGAGTTATCCCAGCAACATCGAGCTGACCGTCAACATCCAATGGACGTCCATCTGCCTGCTGAGGTGTGTGTGTGTGTGTGAGAGAGAGCGTGTGTGTGTGCATGCAGGTGTGTGTGTGTGTGTGTGTGTGTGTGTATGAGTAATGTGGTGGACATTCAACGCCCTGACTGATCAGTATGTGTTTGTGTGTGAGAGCATGTATGAGTGTGTGTGTGTTTGTGGTTAATACAGCGGACATGCAATGCCTGTCTGATGAATGTGTGTGTGTGTGTGTGTGTGTGTTTCAGATGGTGAAGCTTCAGGAGGTGTTTAAGCTCTTCTATCTGGGGAAACACAGCGGGCGTAAACTGCAGTGGCAGCCCACACTGGGTCATGCAGTGCTGAAGACTGAGTTTAAAGAGGTAAACACACACTTTAACGCACACTCTTACACACACACACACTCTAACACACACACCATTAAATTTTGCATTTATTTTCTGCAAGTCTGTAAAAAATATCCTCAGCTAGCAGATATAGGTGCTCAACTATATTATTTTTTCATGTCTTTATCCATCATAAATAACCTGTGCATTCACTGGTCAGATGTGTGCTCATATTTCCCATGATTCTCTGCGTGTCTCTCTGTGCAGCCAGCGGATCTGAAGAAGCGCATCGAGTCGCTGATCAATCGTGATTATATGGAGCACGACAAAGAAAACCCAAACCAGAACCACTATGTGGCGTAAGAGCGCCGTGACCCTTGACCTCCACGCTCCTCACAAGGGCTTTTGGGCCGGATGGGTCATGTGACGCGACCCTACAGACGCTCTGCACTCTGGGATAGAGGTGATTTTAGCAGGATTATGAATTATTTTCACTAAAGATGCACTTTTCTTTGACTCCTCTGTGTTTGTTGTGTTGGAGTTTAGAGAGTGTGATGAGCTCAGTGTGTGTGTGTGTGTGTGTGTGTGTGTGTGTGTGTGT